AAGCGAAAAAACGTGAACAAAGGGAGCAAATAGCTAGACCAGAAATGGTGCAGGAAAAGAAGAATAATTAAACAGACTTGAATGCCACCACCCATCCTCTCCGATGATTCATTTGTGTCCTATTGCGCTCCTTTCCGGTGGTCCTGTGCTGGGAATGCGTTCAGTGAATTCCGCCCATCTTTGATGAAAAAAGAAGTTCCAAGTTATTTAGTGAATAATTTTCCCCTTTCTTTATTTCTGTATTTTAACGCCGATTTTATAATAACGCATGTTTGGTCCATACAGTAGGCACTTGGTTTCGGGATAAAAATCCTTTTGAGTGGTTTGTAGAACTCAAATTTTATTGAATGTAACGATTTTTTTAAACCTAGATTTCTCTTCTAAAACCGTTATTTTTCCAAAATGACAGTTTTAGAAAAGAGACATCCAAGTGCCTATGGTTTCTGGTAATCTCCAGATTTTCGGACATGGCGACCATAACTCGACCAAAAATCACTCTACCTAAAAACCTGCGTAATATGCGCAAGTACTTGAGCTACCGGTCAGGTCCTGTAAAGTTTTATTGGAAGTGTTTGGTGGTTTATGAGGAGTACTCCGGATATACTTTTTCTTCTTGTGTATCGTTTTAGTGATTAGCCCTTGCCATGCGCCTTGTCCTGTTTTTTTTTTTTTTTTTTTTTGGGGGGGGGGGTCCTCATGGGCTCCTTGTCGCAGGTTCTTGTTACTGGGTCTTGGGGGCTGCGTTCATTGAAATCTGCCTTTCCTTGTTGATCTTGTTTATCATATTTTGGTCATATCTCAGCGGTCGATGCGCCAAACCGACTTTCCTGGATAACTAACCGGTCAGTACTCATTCTTTTTCCGCCAGTCCATCATGTCTGGTGAGAGACAAATGCATGTATGACCATGCATTAGACTGAGAAATCAATTGTCATGGAGAAATGACGAGGTTTGAACCAGTGACGCCTAGATAACTTGCCATTCCTCTGCCAAGTGTTTTTGTTTTCTTTTTCAATTGACAATTTTCATTCATACAAATATTTGTGATGCACTTTAAACAGTTTAACTTATTGCATTAAAGTAAATCAATGAACTTGATATGTCGTCCTTCTACAACAAAATAGAGGGGAAAAAATCCCCAAAGAACGCCCAAAACGCAAAATAAAAAATGTTGCAGCCTCAGTTTGATTGAGCATGTTTATGGAAGGTAAGCACGATCATTAACAATGTTTGCTTTCGAACGGCATCTTTTTCTCTATTTTATTGTCACATCAGCGTTATATTTGCCGTGTGACGGCTGTAAAACAGAATCCCTAAAGAAAGCCCAACACGAAAAAAATGAAAACGTTGCAGGCTCGGTTTGATTGAGCCTGTTCATGGACGGTACTGGAAATGCAAGTTACCGTCCACGCCCCCTAGCTAACGCCGGCTTAAGCAGAATTCAATATTTAAACACGAAAATGGTGAAATTTTGAATTAAGAAACATCTGCAGCTTTGTTCATTCGTCGGTTATCATGGAACCTACAATGCCACACTTTAATCGTGCCAGTCTGCTCGTGCCATTCCATGAAAAAAAAAATAGAGAAAACAAGAATCCCTAAAGAAAGCCCAACACGGCCTAATTGAAAATGTTGCAGGCTCGGTTTGATTGAGCCTGTTCATGGACGGTACTGTTAAGTGCAAACTACCGTCCACGCCCCCTAGCACCGGCTTAAGCAGAATTCAACATTTAACACGAAAATGGTGAAATTTTGAATTTAGAAACATCCGCAGATGTGTTCATACAGCGGTTATCATGGAACCTTCAATGTGACACAGCAGTGCCATTCCATGAAAAGCGGCGTATGGTCCCCAAGTAAAATAATGCTTTTGCCCTAAACGAGAAAACAATGGGCGGAACTAAATAAAATGGAATTTTGAAAGGAGATCTGAGGTTATGAGGTCTGCATATCACAGATAAGACGTCAAAAGACAAATTTAAAAAGCAGTCGACATATCCTAAGGGTGATTATACAGTATTCAAGTAGGAATACTGGAACCACCCGAGTTGAAATGGCCGAAAAGAAGAAACTCAAAGTACCACATAACATGTATACACAACAATAATGTCGTGCTGAACGGTCTTCTAGGATCGAAAATATAACATCATTGATTGCACATTCATTGATTAAATGTACGGAGAGACTTTTTACAGCCGCCACACGGCACAAATAACACGGATGTGACAATAAAATAGAGAAAACAAGAATCCCTAAAGAAAGCCCAACACGGCACGGTCCCCAAGTAAAAGAATGCGGGCGGAAACTAAATGAAATGTGATTTTGAAAGGGGGTCTGAGGTTCTAAAGCCTGCATATCACAGACAAGACGTCAAAAGACAAAATTAAAAAGCAGGCAACATATCCTAACGGTGATTATACAGTATTCAAGTAGAAATTCTGGAACCACCAAAGTTGAAAAAGGCCAAATAGAAGAAACTAATAATACCACAAAACATATATTGTATACAGTATACACAACAATAATGTGCTGAAAGATCTCCGATGATCGAAAGTAAAACATCTTTGAGAGACTTTTTTACAGCGTCCACAAGGCACAAATAGCACTGATGTGGCAATAAAATAGAGAAAAACAGAATCCCTAAAGAAAGCCCGAACACGGCAAAATTGAAAATGTTGCAGGCTCGTTTTGATTGAGTCTGTTCATGGTCGGTACTGGAAAGTGCAAGTTTTATAAACGAAAATGGTTAAGTTTTGAATTTAGAAACATCCGCAGATGTGTTCATACGGCGGTTATCGTGGGTCGCCGCCTTGGAACGGTAAGCAGCGATGGCGTTTCTTGGGAGTTTAAACCAGTTAATGGTGCACTGTTCAAATCTCTCTGTTCCAGTTACACAAGGTACGTAAAGTAATCCGTTTTGCGAGGTTGCGTCGGGGTCTGTGTTGTCTTATCGATTTCAGTTCACATTAATTAACAGAGCAAAAACCCTTTAGCGACTAGGTATAATTACAACATAAGATACACTGGAAACCATAAAAACGCCCTAAGAGGGAAATTGAAAATGTGACACGTACATGAAAAGCGGTGCATGATCAGACGTATAAAGTGGAAAACTATGACTGAATTGTTTTACTTTTTGTCATTGTCCTTGTTTCGTCGCGCCCTTTGAAGTGATATTTTAAAGTTTAACTGCCTTCTTGGACATTTAGATATTTGTTATGGTCATCGGCTTATCTTTATATAAGTATTTTTATGGTATTTTCTGTGTTTTATTTTTCATTTTGTATTAACTCGGACAGTCGTTAGATTCCGATATTGTTTAGTATTTTAATGTGTTAACGTTTCCATTATTTGTTTCCATATATGAAATAAAAAATCAAAGCAAACAAAGACCATCAAGGTAGAGCGGCATGCAATGAACGCATCCTTCATTCCTGTCACCCTTCAACTCCCCTTCTAATTTCACCCTTCAGGATAGACTAATTAAGCATAAACAGTTTGACCCATATCACAGTCTGCTTTTTCTGTAGGGTCAAACCGTTTCAAAACGACACCCCTTGTCCAAAAAAATATCTCGATGTCTCTTTGACAAGACTAGTTAGACTACTTTCAGGGTCCATTCGGATAGAGAAAACCAGAATCCCAAAAGAAAGCCTAACACGGCTCGGTTTGATTGAGTCTGTTCGAAAGCGCAAGTTACCGTCCACGCTCCATATAGCACCTGCTTAACCGTTCACGCCCTCTCGCATCGCCTTAAGCAATGCTTACTCAAAGCTGCGTTCCTCCGGATGGTGGACCTGTGTTTTCCTTACATGTTTATAGAAAAGCCTTTAATTATCTTGTCTGAAACCTCAAGAGCTAGAGCTTACATATGATGTGGGACTGATCATGACGAGTAGATAAGCCCTATTGATTTTGAGACAGTGGCCTTGACCACAAACAATCTTGCCAGACCAGTAACAAGAGTATGTTTTTGCCTGCAGTCCTAAAATTTCGTAAGAAGGGTGGTCATGCCAAGTATATGACTAAATAAAATTTTGTTTTTTAGGTCAGTTGGCCAAAAGTCACTGACCTTGACCACTGAAAGTTTAGAATGCTTTGTTCTGTAGTTCTACGATTTGGAAACAAGAAGACTATTGTTTCTAGGTGACGTTTCAGCAACCATTTATAAGATTGGTCATGACTAATAGACAACTCCTTTGCGTATTGAAGACAGTGGGTCAAAGATCCATACACTCTGACCTAATATGACCAATAACTACATAAATCCTAATGTTCTGGCCTTCAATCCTAAGATTTGGTCAAGTTTGGCTCCCTCTTGTGAATGTTGCCTTTGCCTTGTTGATCTTTATTCTTGTTTTTTATGGTTATATTCAACTACATGTAGAAGATGAGCCTTATTGGTTTGAGGTGAAGGTAACTGTGGGCTTGAGACCTTGACCATGCCATGCTTGTCCGACCAATATAGTGATAAGGCTTTTGCCTACAGTCCTTGGATTTGGTGTGGATGTTGGTTATAACTAGTAGATGACCCATATTGGTTACGAGGTCAGTCAGTTCAATGTGCAGGTGGTCCTAACTTCTAAAAGTTGGACTGACATTGGGGATCATCATCATTGTTAAGTAGACTAATATAAGAGAAAACTTTTAAAAAAAAACTCTAGTTATTCTCTGTTTTTATAGTTTGTTACATGAACTGATTGCAGCAGGGTGGTCTTTGCTGGTGTTCCTATATTTGGGGGTGCCACTGTTCCTTGTTGATCTTGTTCTTCATATTTTGAAAGCTCACAAGAAATTCTTGCAGTTTACTTTAGTTAACAACAGCATCTATCACCAATACCTTTCCGTCGTCAGGCTAAATGAAATAGGTGTAAAGCAATAGAATCTGGGAAGAGAAATGGAAAGCCTGAACATGTTAAATTTTGTAAATTAGCTAATTTTGTTTTCTTTGTTCTGATTTTTTGAAATTATACAATTGAAGTTTGTAAATAAACAAGGTGAATGATTGACAATGAAAATTGTTTATTTCTTTTCATGGCAAAACAAATTAAATATAAAAATAAATATCTTTGTTAAAAGGTTAATATACAAGGGTTTAATCAACTAATATCACATTATAATACAAGTATTCATTTAACAAAAAACACACACAAAAAAAATGCAATTAAAGGTGTATACAAAACTGGCTTGTTAGAATAAATTAAATGGAGTTAAAACAGTCTATATAATGTAAAATTAAGAATTCCCTGTTAAATTTTTGCAAATACGTACTATATCTTTCCATTAAGACTTAACAAACTCTGTGATTTATGAAGTCAAAAACATGAAATGTAAATTATCAAATTGTTAGTATCAAAAATAATCCAGGACTGTATAGATCCTAAGTATGTTGGGCCAAGGACAAAGCGGTATATTTATACACATTAAAACAGTAGTATTTATATTTAAGAAACCACTTCACCAAATCATATCCATCTACTGGGTAAAATCCAGATAAAAAATGTGTGTTCATTTTCATTACAAAACAAAGTCAATTTAAAAAGAATACCTCAATGACTAAATTTATCTATAAGAAGGGTGTAATTTTTCAAAGCAACTACTTGTATTCTTAAACACGATTTAAGCAAAAGGCGCTGTATAGATTCAAGCTGTATTTACTCTAATATCATTTCATAAAGATGACTAAATATTATAAAACATAAAAAAACAAATGTATAAATTTGAGTTGTATTAAAATAGAATAAATACTTAAAATATCATGTCATAGTAAAATTTGCTGATTAAAATATGTTGAATACAGAAAATAAAACTGGCCTATCAAAAATAAATTAAATAGAGTATGTATAAAACAGAGTATGTATAAAACAGTCTATTAAATGAATATCAATAATTTCATCAAATGTATCACTTGCAAAGTGTCAACCTATAAAATCGTAAAATTGAAACATTTTTGTAAAGTATCCAAATGTTAGTATTAAAAATGCTATCAACAGGACTAAAGGGAAACAGAAAATTATTGTAATCTTAAAATGGTGAATCAATAGAAGAAAGTAATTCTGAATTCTTGTCCACCCAATCCATAAAGTTCGGAGAACTTTTAGCAATTTTCAAAAGGGTAATACAGTCATCTTCTGCTTTATGTGAATGGGGTGGCCGGCTTCCAAATTTCCTCAAGTATATTTCTTCCAATTTGTATGACTGTCTTTGAAGGTATGGTGATCCATTTTGTGTTCCTGCTGCAGAGTCTGGTTTTGTTTTTAATAAATCTTCTGTTGATAAGCCAGAAATCTGAGTCTGTTTTACAGAATTTGTTACGATAGGTGTTGTAGGGAGTGGTGACGATTTTAAACAAGTTGCTTTATTTGAAGTGAACACTGACTTCGAATCTAATAAATTTGCTGAATCAGATGATGTTGAAACTTGTGTAAAACTAGTAGAATTTGCAGGTAGAGTTGACACAACTGCTGTAGACTCTGATTTTAAATCTGAATGTCTTGTAATGATTTGTACATCAGTTGATGTTCTTGCTGATGAAACTTTTGAAGATGCAGACATACCTTTGTCAGACACTAATACTGAGTTTGATTGTGCACAGCTTGATACCTGGCATGATGTCAAAGGCACTGGTGATCCATTTGAAGCATTAGATACATCTGGTTGAATTGATTCTTTTTTTGAAGAACTCAACACATTTTTGTTTTCTGACAAACAATTATCTCTACTTGAGAAATTATTTGTTTCTGCTGGTAAAGGTGAATACTGCTTGGATGTCAATGTAACAACAAAATTTGTTTTTGTGGTGGACATTTGGTCCTTTTTGCCACTTGAAAATTCAGTTTCTTTCGAACAGTTTTCCAGTTTAGGTGATGTAATGTTAATCGGTTCCTCAGATTTTACAACAGGAGAAGAGGTAATATTGCCCCCTGATTCATCCCTCTTTGGAACAGCATTCTTTTCTTCTTTTAAAAGCTCTTGTGTACTCTGCCTGATGTAATAACCGGTACCATTGGCAACACAACATGTTCCAGCAGATGTTTCTAAAACTGTTGAATTATTAGCTGGTGACTGTATACTTTTTGTATCTTCATTTTCTTGTTCCTTCTTTGTACTCTCAGATAAACAATCACCTGCAGATTTATTAAATACGAGTGTTTCTTGACATAGACCTTTCTCAACAGATTCAAGAGCCTTAAGATAATGAGTATCATCTAAACTTGATGAGAATTCTTCAGTTGCCTCTTCCACTTCTTCTGTTTCTTTTTTATCTTGCTTAGTATCATCTGTAGTCTTGTCTTGAATACTTTCAAATGTAAGTTTCTTTTTAACCTTTTCTGCAGAAAGGTTTGTTTTGTAAGAATATTCAAGTTTGCTAACCTTTGGTGAATTATCACTTGGAGTGCTGAATTCAGTTGTTCCTTTTCTTTTTAAAGGAGTATTTGTGCTTGACTTTGCTGATGTTACTGGAGTTTTGTCACCATTATTTGGAGAGTTCTGAAATTTCTTTATATAACTCTGATTGGATGATGGGGTATATACTGCCGGCAAACCATCCAATGACCTAAAGGCTTCCAAAGTGTCTGCACACCAAATTGAATTATCAAGTGATTGGTTGAGTCTTTTAAGTTCTGCCACAAGCAGTAGAAAATCGAACCTATTTCCATTGTGTGCTAACAAGCATATTGGCTTTCTTAAGTGGTTGAGAAATGCATTTATCAGTGCAACGGTTTCATCTGTAAATGCTTTTTGGTTTTCTAGACTGTCATTATATAAACCTGTAACAGTAAAAACATGGTATGTAGATATTACTTTCATTGATATCCGTAATTAACAAATATATAAATTACCATTTTACGAGTTTGGAGAAAAGCCTTTTAGGCATAATGTTGAACTTAATGAGCTACCATTTCTTAAAGGAACTACCAACTCTTAAGAAAAGTAGCTGCCAAAATTTCCAGGATAAAAATATGTGTGCTTTACATTTTTAGTTCAAATTTATTGTGTTTTCCTCTCTTAGACCTTCATTCAATGCTTTGACTTATAAAATGTCATTGTATACCAAATGGAAATGTACAGTACTTTTGACTTGTTTGCCTTAGACCAAGAAAACACTTTCCACTTACCTGTGATATTGCTTGATGTCATGGAGATTGGTTGCTGAGGATCAAGGCAAACTGTTAATTTGTTTGTTACTCTGGGGAAGCTTCCTGCAGCCGTCAAGTCTACTCTGTTTACAGCCAACAAGCACATTTCTGTTATACGGCATTTTCTGTCCAGTAAACTTGTTGTTTCAAAGTCCAGAAACACGTATGAAGAGATGTTTGTTTCATTTCCCCAACTTGTAGCAGATGTTTCCATATCTTTAACATTGATAAAGAACTTTTTACAGTTTATATAGAGCAATGTACAGTAAAAAAATAAAATTAAAAATTTGGTCTTTTCTGAATAGATTATTATTCACACATTAAGAAATTGAATGAAACACAAAAGGGTTTGATACATTAAAAGTTATCTTATCAGAATGATAGCTGTTGATACCTTTCATAGTCTTAAATATGCAACTGTGACAAAATTCTAACTTTAATAAGGGGCATAACTCCAGATTATATAGCTTTTTAATAAAGCCCCGTGCAATGTTAGTCATAATCAGAATTGATTGTTAAGCAGTATCACGTACATGTAAATGCCATCTTGGTAACGATTTGGTTTTGGGCCGAAAGTCCAGTATCCCTTTCGGCCCAAACTTGTCAAATTGGCCCCAAGTGAGATTGGCTCCAAGTCAAACCGGCCCTAAAATTAGTCAATCGATCAATCAATCTTATTCTATCCAATCCAATATATCCTATCCTATCTCTACATCTACATTTTACTGCTTCAAAATCATAATCGATTACACTAAGCAGGCGCGTTGTCTGGGAATAGCAGTAAAAAAAACAATTATGTTAAGTGCAAAATTATAGACATAAGGTAAAAGCAAGTTGAAAAAGAACTACAAGACTGAGATAATTACAATGACATAATGTCCTAACAGTATCATATCCTATCAGTATCCTATCCTATCCTATCCTAGCTAAGGAGACGGGCAGCACGAAATACCCAAATATACCCAAATATTGCCCAAATATACCCAAATATTGCCTAAATATACCCAAATATTGCCCAATTATACTAAAAATAAATGTTTTATCCCAAAAAAGTGCTGTTTTTATCATGAATACAATATACACTTTCAATAAGATATAATCAACCATACCCAAATATACATTTCCCTATCATTGTGTTTTGAACCAAAATACAGTCTATATGTACACCTTTAAAGCATTTTTTTGTAAAAATAACATGGACACTTGTATATGATATGAAATTCCAACAAAATTACACCTTAAAAATGTAAGTGTAGACAACAAACATCATATCTTGATTTAAAATTGCAAGTAGATCTACATTAATAAAGAACCTATATGGTACTGTAGATAGGCAAATGTCACAACTTTATTCTTTACATTACCATAGTAACTGTCCATTTTCAACGGAATGAATGAAAATTATAGCAGGCTAAGTCATATTATATTTAATAAATATTTATTTATTTCTCATTACAATCTATATTTTACACAAACAATTTTTTGTAAAAATAACATGGACACTTGTATATGATATGAAATTCCAACAAAATTACACCTTAAAAATGTAAGTGTAGACAACAAACATCATATCTTGATTTAAAATTGCAAGTAGATCTACATTAATAAAGAACCTATATGGTACTGTAGATAGGCAAATGTCACAACTTTATCCTTTACATTACCATCGTAACTGTCCATTTTCAACGGAATGAATAAAAATTATAGCAGACTAAGTCATATTATATTTAATAAATATTTATTTATTTCTCATTACAATCTATATTTTATACAAACAAAAATAAATATTGCTATATTTGGGTGTATTTGGGTATATTTGGGTATTTCGTACCGCCGAAGGAGACTTCAGCGACAGGTTTTATAACTACTGCTAGACCTGTTGCAACGTGAAGATAAAACTTAAAAGCGACATGTATATAAAGTTATGGAAGCCAGAGGATATCCCCATCCCATCCTTTTATACTGCAACACCGATTTGACATGAGGCCGATTTGACTCTTGGGGGCGGCCTATTTGTCTGTACATACTGAGCTTTCGGGTCATTTTTTAATGAAATGCATGTAATGTTACCCAAATAAAATAAAATATTGACAGAAAAATCAATTTGAACATATCTTCAAATAAATTGCTTACCTTTTCCTTTTTGTCAAATACTAAAAATACTATGTACAAGCACTTTTCATGATGACGTACACGGGGTTTTCTTGTTGTGCTCACGTGACTTTCAAAAATAAATGACTAATTTTGGCTGTTACATTTATCAATAAATTATTTATCTTCTTGTACGCTTTTTCCAGTGGTTTATAAATGCGTTTTATGAGTCATTCAATTATTTGTAATATAATTAATCATACTGCCTATTGAATTTTGAACTTGAAATGATTGATGATAGCATATATCTTACTAGATAATTATTTTTAACGTCAATTAATGGAACAGCAATAACCTTGAATATCCGCCATATTGGAATACCCAACACCCAATGTGGGTCTCTCTTATGGCGATCAGTCGCTACAGTGATTGTGGGCCATCAACCGCTGGGCACTAGAACACTAAATCTGTGTATTTTCTTCCTCGGTCCGCCTATCATACAGCTTATTACGGTACGTTTAAAAAGTATTGTAGAACTCTATCAAATGGAAAAAATCTTTAAAACATTACATATAAAGAACAGTGGTGATCGTAGCGAATGGTTGTCCAGTCAGACTTATTATGATAATTCGTATATAATTGCTTCTTATAGCCCTATGAAAATAAAATTGGCTAACGTCTCGGACTATATTAATTAATATTATCATATCAATATATACCAAAACGAGCTGTACATTGCCTCTTGACAATAACCACGAATCATATTATGGTTCCATGTAAAAACTGAGATGACTATATATTGTCTCTTGCAGGTAGCCACGTACACACAATGGCCTCATGAAAATACATTGATGGTTAAAGGCCGAGCTTGTTTATATATCCCGCACAGGATTACATATGCTCTCTTGGAAAAATACCACATATTTACCCGCTAAGCAAGAGTATTACGCTCCTATGTAGCCACGTATGACCCCATGAAAAATTCTAAACGGTTGCATTTGTTTCTATTACTTAGCCACGTATGGCCCCGTGTAAAAATCTTAAATGCTGGCAGTTATAGACTGTCTATTTGCTTGTGAACAGCAACATATGGCCCCGTGTTAAAACTGAAACAACCGTAGTAATAGGCTATATATTTCTCTTGCAGGTTGCCACGCATGGGCTCGTGAAAATACTTCAACGGTTAAACGCTGAACTTGTTTATTTCTCCTGTACAGGGGTAAATATGACCACTTTGGAAAATGAAAGATATTTACCCCCCCCCCTAGCAAGAGTTTCTTATGTAGCCTCGTGAAAAAACTTAAAGGTCGGCAGTAATAGACTGTCAATTCGCTATTATGTAGCCACGTATGGCCCCATGAAAAGTTCTAAACGGCTGCATCAAAGGACTGTGTGACTGTTTTCTATTACTTAGCCACGTATGGCCCTGTGTAAAAAAAACTTAAATCTCGGCATTAAATAGACTGCCTATTCGCTTGTGGACAGGCAAACATGGCCCTATGTAAAAACTGAGATGACTTTAGATATAGGCTGTATATTGTCTCTTGCAGGCAGCCACGTATGACCACACGAAAACACTTTTATTGGTTAAAGGCCGAGCTCGTTTATTTGTCCCGTGCAAGAGTACACACCCCTTT